AAGAAAGACAGAGAGAAAGGAAGGAAAGAAAGGAAGGAAGAAAGAAAGAGAGAGAGAGAAAAGAAAGAAAGAAAGAAAGAAAGAAAGAAAGAAAGAAAGAAAGAAAGAAAGAAAGAAAGAAAGAAAGAAAGAAAGAAGGAAGGAAGGAAATTTCAACTCAGACATCACACTTGCTGATTTCTAAATATATTATAAACCTGTAATAATCAAAATAGCATGGCACTAACGTAAAGACAGACATTATGAACGAATGGAACAGAGAGTCCAGAAATAAATCCACACATCTGTGGTCAACTGATCTTTGCCAGGGGTGCCAAGAACATATAATGGGGAAAGGACAGTCTCTTCAATAAACGGTGTTGGTAAAACTGGACACCTACATGGGGAATGAGATTGGACCCTTATCTTACACCACATAGAAAAATCAACTCAAGATGAAGACTAAAATATAAGACTGGAAACTGTACAACTACTAGAAGAAAACATGGGGGAGAAAAGCTTCTCGATGTTGTCTGGGTGATGATTTTTTTGGATATGACAGGCAACAAAAGTAAAAATAGACAAATGGGATTGTATCCAACCAAAAAGCTTCTACACAGCAAAGGAAACAACCAACAGAGTGAAAAGGCAACCTATAGAATGGGAGAAAATATTTGCAAATCATATATCGCATAAGGGGTTAATATCCAAAATATATGAGAAACTCAACTCAACAGCCAAAACCCCCAAATAACCCAATTCAAGAGAGGACTAAGGACCCTGACAGATGCTGTTCAAAAGAAGATAAACAAAGAGCCAACAGACATATGAAAAGGTGCTCAACATCACTAATCATCAAGGAAATGCAAATCAAAACCACAATGAGATATCACCTCACACCTGCTGGGATGGCTACTGTCAGAAAGTCGAGCGGTTTAAGTGTTGGTGAGGATGTGGAGAGAAGGGAACCCTTGCGCGCTGTTGGTGGGGGATGTAAACTGGTGCAGACATAATGGAAAACAGTCTAAAGAATCCTCAAAAAATTAAAAACAGAACTACCGTATTAATCAGCCATCCTCCTTCTGGTGTATAACCAAAGGAAATGAAATCAGTTTCTTGAAGAGGCATCTACACTCCCTTGTTCATTGTAGTTTTACTCACAACAGTTAAGATATGGAAACAACCTAAGTGTTGCTGATAGATGAACAATGGATAAAGAGCATGTGGGATGGATACATGTATATATACATATTTAGGTAATATAACTTGATTGTACTATTTTATTTATTTATTTTATTGAAGTTTAGTCAGTTACAATGTTGTGTTAATTTCTGGTGTGCAGCAAAGTGATTCAGTTATATATAAATATATTCCTTTTCCTATTCTTTTTCATTATAGGCTATTGCAAGATATTAAATATAGTTCCCTGTGCTTTACAGTAGGACCTTGTTGTTTATCTACACATTTCTTTAAACACACAATAGTATATTATTCAATCTTTAAAAAGAAGGAAATCCTGTGATTTCTGACACCATGGGTGAATGTGGAGAACATTACACTAAGCGAAACAGGCCAGACACAGAAAAATAAGGCATGATTGCTCTTATGTGGAATCAAAAAAAAATAGTCAAACTCATAAAAGCAGAGTAGAATGGTGGTTGCCAGGGGCTGGGAGGTGGAGGAAATGGGGCAGTGTTGGTCAAAGGGTATGAAGTTTCAGTTATGCAGGATAAATAAGTTCTGGGGACCTAATGCACACCACGGGACTACAGTTAATTACACTGTAGTGTATCTTTGAAATGTGCTAAGAGAGTTGATCCTAAGTGTTCTCACCATACGTAAAAAAATGTTGACTATGTGAGGTGATGGATATGTTAATTAGTTTGATCACAGCAATCATTTCACAATAAATACATGTATCAAAACATCAAATTATACATCTTAAAGCCTGGGAGGAAAAAAAATCCCAACTCAAACAATGTCAATCAACTTTATGGTTAATGTCCCTCTATAAACAGGACATGCTAACATATAACTTGTATTTACTTCAATCAGTATGGTCTGACGGTACATGTTACACTGAATTCCACTAATACACTCCTTATTTTGATCAACTTAACTATGACTATTTCCTTCACCTCTGAAATAAGAACACCACCCAGTCTGTATCTATTTTACCAGGACCTTATTTTCATTTTTTTTTTCTCAAGAACAAATCAGTAAAGCATTTTTAAAAGATATATTGAGTCACAGCCTCACCCATTTATTGGCTTTGGGCAAGTTACTGAATCGTTTTTAAGCTCAGTTGCTCCATTTGTTAAAAAAAAAAAAAAAGGCGCAGTAAGAATGATGCTGCCTTCGGCTCTCCTGAGGGTCACGCGAGTTCATGCATTGCTGTACTTTGTCTAACACCTGGCACCTGATGAATATTTGTATAAGAATTTAAATGATTATGTTAAAATCAGTGTTTTGGGAGATTACTTAACAACATGCTCTGTTGCACAAAGATACAATTTAAAATAAAAATGAATATAAGGTCAAAAAAAAAAGCTATACTGAAGAAGTAGCTTCTAAATGAATATTCCTTGAAGGCACAAGAAGAATCTTGGTGGTTTCTGTAGCGCAGGTGGAGTTTTTGTTTTTCTTTAATGTTATTTATGCTACAGGAAAAGCTAAAGTCAGAGGTGTAAAATCCATGTACTGTGAGGTCTAACTGAACAATGTTAAATGTAACTGGTTACAAGACTGTCTCTGAACCATGTCAAAATCAGAACACTGAAATTCTGCCACTAAAATATCATGGAGGCAACCAGAAGCAGATTATTCGCATGACACTTTTTGAATGCACAGTGTCTGATAAGGACTCACGTTTATGGGGCATTGTGATGGACAGGCCCAGGGGAAAGCAACCCACATGCGCTGAATGCTCAAGACACCACTTGGTGGGAGAGCCCACTGTCATCTCCACTTCTTAGATGGGAAAACTCAAGTGAGGAGAGGTAAGTAGCTTGCCCAGGGTCTCTGAATCCAGGTCGCTGACCTTCCAAGCTTATAACCTGCTAGACTATCCAGAAAGGTCCTACATCTTAAGAGAAGTCCATCTAATTATTCTGACAGGAAGGCAGCACCCAGTTTGTACCCAAATGTTCTCAGAGCCAAATTGGTATTTTCTCTATAGGATAATCAGATTCATTCTGCATAAGTAAATAAATCTGATCACAAGAAACCCAGGCAAAAATCAACTTCTCTGTAAATGATGGAAAGATCCAAAAAAAAAGGCTAAATTAATTTTCATTTATGAAAATCATCACATTAACTAATGACATCCTTTTGCATTTCTTGTAACTCACAGAGAGAAAAAGTACATTATCCATTAAAAAATCTGACGAGGTCCTTGCAAGCTGCCACCTCTATAGAAAACCCACAGGATGATGGGAAAGGCTTTGGGGAGGAGAAATCATTATATCTAAAGAGCAGCAAATACATGGGCCCTTTAGCTGTGGATTGAGTTTTCCAAGTCTTGTAATTTAAATCTGTATGACTGTGTTATGTTCAAGATATGAGAAACCAAAGAAAAATCCAATTCCTCAGTCATAACTCCAAGGCTGTTCAAATATTCACTCTCGATTCTTGAAAATCAATCTGTTTCACCTGGGCGATATCACTGCGGGGATCGACACTTGTACCCCGACAGTCAACCTTGTAAAGTCCCTGCTCATTACAGGTGCCTGGGATGTCACACAGGACAAATCTTTTTCCTCCAATGTCTTGTCTTGATTGATTTATAGGGAAAGGGAAAAAAATCAAAAAACAAAACCATTACTAGAAAGCTCTAGTGTCCTTTTTCAGGAAAGCCTTTAGAGAGGATGTCGGTGTAAGGGCACATTTCAATGAGAAGACAAGCAATATTAAACTTCAATCGTTCCAGATAAACCCCCAGGGAAGAAATACAGTCTTATACATCCATCCCTCCAGCACATGCACACAGGCAGGGAATGTCCCCAAGCCCAACTGTCAAGCAAATCAGAAACATTTATTTGGGAATCATTTCATCTTACCTGAAAAAGAGTTGATGCCACTTGTTTCTTGGACAGATGGCTTTGCACATGTTCTACAGCTTGCTTTGAGAATGGCTTTTAAAAATCAAAAAACAACATTCTTTTCCACAAATATAAACCATAGCAAACCTCTGTATGTTTTACAATATCACGACATGCATTTTAACACAACCATCACTCAGCAGTAACCTACGGCGATGACATTAACATGTACTCTTTGAAAAAAAAATCTACCGGATGTCTGTGGGCGATCCAAACAGATGACTGGTCCAGCCAGAGCTCTCAGACACCCTGTTGAGAAGGAAGATGAGCCCTGGGGCATCTAACTGACCTTTCTAATCCCACAAGAGCTCCAGATTACTTCGAATTAAAAAAAAAAGTTTAAAGAATCTTATTATCACCTTATTCAATGCATACATCCCTCATTTAGCTGATAATGGGGTCCTAAATTATTTTTTAATTTCTATTATATAAGACAAAATGACTGTATGAACATAGACCTAAGAATTCAAGGCCAGGAATGCCCAACTAAATCACAGTGGTAAAAGACTGTAGGTTGAGGAAAAGTCTTGCCATAATCACAGCAGAGGGGAATTGGTTCTAAAAGAATGAAACTGAATTCTGACAAAAATGACAAACTCTATCTTCCGCCCAAACTTCAAATTATGTCTGCAATAATGCAAAAGAAGAGCTTAAGAAGCACATTGTTACTGCCTCAAACCGTCTAAATGGTTGACCTACATGAAAACTACATTTATGGAGGCTTTCCCAGTGAACACCAGGCATTTTCCAAGGTTTAACCATTCCCCAGCAGGGTGGCAGGGCACCGAGCATCACTGATCGGCTCTAGCTCAGAAATTCAGTGAGAACTGTAGACAACACCATAAATACAGAAGCACTGACATGCATCGTTATCAGGGCTGCCCCGTCCAACTTCCTGTGATGATGGAAATGGGAATCTGTGCTGAGCGAGCCAGGAACCACTAGCCACACGTGGGTATCGAGCACCTGAAACGTGGCTCATGAGGATGCCCGCAACTGAATCTGTAATTCCATTTGATCTTAATTCACTTAAACACATTTAAATAGCCACTCGTGGCTAGTGGCTAGTGTATTGGTCACAGCAGCCCACGGCTCTGAGGACACTCCTTTGGAAAACAGTCTTCACACAGAGAAATTACATGGTAGATTTCCATTATTAATTATTCCACTCACTCCTGGTGGAATAATTTCCTAGTAACTTGCTCTATCCTGGGGACTGAATTAGATTGTTTCTCTGACTTACAGGGGGAAAAAATTATTTCAACCATCATGTAATGATGAATGAGCTAAATTAACTCAATAATTACAACCCTTATTAATTCAAAGAAAGCACTTAAATTAAGATTTTTATTGATCAATATTTGATTAGCCTAATTGTTAAAGGATAGCTATATTAAAAACAATAAAGCTTCATTGCCTTTAGAAAGCCTAGAACTGAGATGAGCTTTCTCTTCCGTTGATCTGAATTAGCCATTTTATCAACGTTCCCAGTGAAAGTATCCACTCTGGGGAAGATACTAAGAGTATATGGAGCCTCAGAGAATTGGACGGGTATTAGCAGGGGGAAACAAATGACAAAGCCCAAGAAATGGGTTCCAACCTGGATGAGCATCGTTTAATTTTTAAACCTCTTCCTCCTATCTTACTCTCATTCTGGGAACATTTGAGGGCCGTCTCACAGCCATACTGAAGTAACAGAACAAAAGGAGATACTCACATGTGAACAAGACAGCAGCTCCTTCATGATATAGGTGTCGTAAATTTGTCGACTTCTACAAAGGCGATCTTCCTCACTCTCAAGCTTTTCATATTCTTTTATCTAGAGGTTTAAAAGTTACCATTGTCAGGTGTCTCTTCCTAGAAACTGACTGTATTAAAGGCTATTACTAGGCTTGGCAGAAACGACTTCCACATGAGATCAAGCAAATTACTGAATCGGCGATTCCACAGGAAACGACTGCTTCTAATGTTGCAATAATGAAGCTGGAATAATTTAAATTCAACTTGGAACATAGAAATGGATTTTTTCCCAAGATGACTCTCACCACTTATATCTAGAAACACAGTATTAGAAAACAAACACTGCCATGGTTACAATTATCTTATGATACACCAGGCATGGACCATTCATCCTTGCCAATTCTTCTTTCCAAAGCACAACTAATTTAAATTTGGCTGTAATCCATGTCTAAGAGTTATGATGGGGACCATTCTCACTCAACCACTGTGTTACAAAACTAACAGGAGGAAAAAAGTAATAATAAATTGCCAGGATTCCAGCAAAGAGATTTTTAAAAATCCACTAAATAGTTTGGAAAGGCGTTAACCACAGATAAAAGTATTGGGTTTTCATGTTTGAACCTTATCTTCACTCTTACAAGTATTTAACAGAAAGGTTCCTTCAAATTATACGTTTCGCTAATAACTTAGGGGAGGTAACCTGACTGGTGTTAAGACAAGCCAAATAAATAGTAAGAGGGACTTTAGAAATATTTGCTTTATGAGGAAAAGGCCCCTATTAACTCTAACCTCAAAACAGAAGTTCTTGCGTCAGAGGAGTGTTTTTATTTATTTACAGAAACACTCTTAATCTAAAAGACCAGAAAAGAATGAAAACACAAATGAAATACAGAGCTAGTACGAAGACTGTAGCAAAAACCTTCAAGACAATGACTATCAACTACCTATGGCTTATTTGGGGCGGGGGAGGGGGGAGCTTCCTACAAGTAGCCAGTTGTGATGCCAACTTTCATAATATCCGAGGGCTATTTATTCTGGTATGATAAAAAGCGGGGCTACTACTGCAATGGGAGGGAGTATAAAATGAACAGAAATAAAAGTGACCTTTTTACTATGTAGTCTGAGTTTGACAGTGCTGACATCAAAACCAGTAAATCCTATAAGAGTTTCTGACAATGAAAGGGTACGAGTGGCAGTGAGGAGTATGCACGATGCTGAGGTCCTACCCGAAGGCCAACAGGTTCACACACTGAGAAATCCCTGGGACCCTATAAATGTCCTTAAACGTCATCAGTGAGATGTCTGAAATTCACAAGTCTGTAACTGCCCAGGCTTGGAATGGAGCCCTCTTGGAACAGAACGGTCTTCTATGTTCAGTTTATGCTTAAATCTAACATAAAGGCAGGCAAACCGGGGTAGGTCGACACCTCATCCAAGGGGAAGACACTTTTTTTTTTTAAATGAAGGAGCAATCCAGCGATGTTGGCATAGCCCAAGGACCTGGGCTTAATCATCCTAAATTAATTCAGGAGAACATGTCAAAAGAGTTCAAACACCACGCCAGATCCAAATAGAGCAGATGAAAGGAAACAGAAGCCAGACACCGAAACCTAAGGAGGAGTCAGCAAATAAACGGAGGAGTCTCGCTTGGTTGATTTCTTTTGCTGGTTTGTTTTGGTCCAGTCCAAAGGTCAATGCCAGAACGCTAGGGAAAAACAGGTGGACTCTTAGTGAACCAAAGGCAAATGCTTCTGACTAAACATACAAATGAACTCTAGGAATAGTAAGCCTTCATGGAATTATTATCCCTGAAAACAACTGTAATAAAACCTATGTCTGTTCCGGGGGCCTATAAAGCGAGCTGATACCTGGTTAAACAAATGCTGATTCTATGGGAGTTTTCTATGAACTGCAATAATCTGACTGTACAGGAGATGCTAGTTTCTTGGGCAAATGATGCTCTGGACCACAATTCTGGCTTTAGTAAGGGCCTGGTGCCTTACAAACTACAACCTGAACAACAGAAAAGGTTAATTCTTGTAGGCAAAGGAAGAGCCTTAAGTATCCGTGGCTGTATTTCGAAATTTACTTTCTATTATCAGTAAGACCACAATCAACTATCAATTAGCTCGAGATGGGATGTCCTGACTATCGCACATGCAGAGAAAATGCCACCTCCAATTCTGGCAGTCAGGTTGTCCGGGGAACCCGGGCAGGCAGAGGCCTGGGTTCAAGGTGAAAAGTCTTCCCTGCAGCAGAACAGAAGCAGCATCGTCAAGCATGAACATTCACTGAGCACGTGGTGCTCCCTTTCTGCCTCGGTGGCTACAAAGCTCAGGGCTGAACATGTAGCTTAAAGTGCTGGGACCCGAAGAGGTTCCAGGACCCTTTTGGTCAATAGCTGTCATGGTCTCCACTTTCCTGCCTCCCGTTTGTCCCACCACCATTCCAGTGGGACAGTCTAGTAGCTTCACTAATGGCCTCTGCCTTGCCCGATCAGGGGTCTCTCTTTTTTCCTTAGCTTCCCTGACTTCCTAGAAGCATTCAGCTCAGCGGTCCACGCCTGCCTTCTCTGAACCTTCTCTGGCTTCTGTGATCTACACTCTCCTGGGGTTTGCCACAAGGCTCCTCTTCTTCTGTCTCCCTTGGTAACTTTCCTCTTCTGCCAGACTTCTAAATACTGAAGTGCCTCAGAGCACAGTGCTGGGGCATCCGTTCTCACCTGCTACATTCTCCTTAGGTAAACCTGCCCAGTTCCACAGTTTCAAACACCAATTAGATTCCAGTGACCAGGTCTGTATCCCCAGGACTCACTTCTCTCCCAGAGCTCCAGATTCTAAATATTTAACCACCTATTGGGAATTTCCACATCCTCTCTATCCCAGTCAGCCATGCTCTTCCCTTAGTCTCCTTTATCACAAAAATGAGTAAAACCATCCTCCCAGCTGCTTAAGCCAAAAAGGGAAGAGTCATCATTGGTCCAGCTCTTTTGCTCATACTCCTGCCCCCACTACCCACCACATCAAATTCATCAGCCAACATTCAAAATATATCACAAACCCAGGCTCTGCTTCAGATAAGAGTGAACTAACCCCTAAGAGAACACTCCTCCTGAGAAAACAACTATAAATTCTGGACATGCATAAAACCCAACTACACTGGCCCACGGGAGAGTGAGCAAAAGTACACAGATAATGGGGAAGGAGCATCAGACAGAAATGTACAAGATACAATCTCATATTATTCTATGTATAAAAAAAAACAGGGAAATGTGGCCCTTTTGCAAGAAAACAGACCGTCAGTGAAGACCAATCCAAGATGATTCAAATGTTGGAATTATCAGACAAGGATTTTAAAGCAGTCAATATAATAATATGCAAAAATGTATAGAAATTATACATGTAAAAAGTAAAAAGATAAGAAATAGCAGCAGAAAAATAATAACTATGAAAAGAAACAAATGGAAACTTTATCTGAAGAAAAATTCAATTGCTGTACATAAAAACGACTAGAAATGCCAAAAGAAAGAGTCGATGAATTTGAAGACAGCTCCATTGAAATTACCTAATCTGAAGAACAGAAAGAAAAAATATTTGGGGAAAAACCCAAACAAGGAATCAGTGATATCTAGGATACAATCCAAAGATCAAACATACATATAACAAGAGTTCTAGAAAAAGAAGGGGAAAAGAGACTGAGGTAGAAATCATGTTTCACATGTCCCAAATTTTACCAGATTTCGTGAATGATATATACACTTACAGATTTAAGGACACCACAAAAGATAGTGACTAGTGAACCCCACAAAAGATAAAACACAGTATCTGAAATTACTCCACTAAAATGCATGGAGTGTCAGAAATGAGCACGTTGGAGTCAGGGGGAAGCAAAAGACTTCTGTATCTGTCTAAAAGAAATACATTTCACATTAAAAAAAACAACACTGGTTGAAAGTAGATGGGCAAAGATGTGTCATGAAAACAGTAAGCATAAGGAGACTGAAATGGCTACATTAATAACCAGCAAAGTCATTTTCAAGACAAAACATAGTACCAGCAATAAAGAGGGACGTTTCATATGAAAAGACAACAATCATAAATGTATATGCACCAAATAATAGAGCTTCAAAACACATGAAAAAAGTGGACAATAAAAAGTAGACAATTTTGTAGTCAAGAATTAGAGATTTTAACACCCTTCTCTCATTAATTGAAAGAACAACTACATATACAATCAGTAAAGACATAGCTAATCTATCACATCAACCGCTTAGATCTAACTGATATTTATAGAATATGCACCTAACACCCCCACTCCCGCTTTAAATCTTCCATGGGCTTTAGAATAAAATCTAAATTTGTTACTCTGGTCCCTAAAACCCATCCCTCTCTTCAACCTGATCTTACCTCACACCACTCTGCCTCTCTCACCCACCACAACCACACCCCACTGGGCTTCTGCCACTTCCTCAAACCGAGGAAGTTCTTTCTCACCACATTAGGGGCTTACCCTTAGCTGTAACTTCAGCCTAAAACATTTTCCCTCTCACCCTGTGCCCATCTTCAAGAGACAAGCCTTCCTGTCATACAAGTCTCAGTTCAAATGCTACCAATCTAATGTGGCCACCAAGTCACAATACATCACATTGACTTCTGAGTCTGTTTTGAGTCACTGCATAGCAGTTCTTGTTTCCTGATATATTTTCTGTTTACTTATTGGCTGTTTATTGTGTTTCAACAAAAACAGAAGCTCAAAGAAAGCACAGACTTTGCCCATTTTGTTCATCCAAACAATGCCTCCTGGCATTAGTGTTTGATAAATACTGGTTGAACGAGTGAAGAAAATTTTCTATAATAACTTTACCTCTGATCTTATATTTTCTGTTTTCCATGATTTGGGGGGGGGGTATCTTTTTTCTTTTTCTCTTTCTTCTTCTTTGTCTTCTTCTTTTTCTTCTTTTTTTTTTGAAGTACAGTCAGTTTACAATGTTGTGTCAATTTCTGGTGTACAGCATAATGTTTCAGTCATACATATACATACATAGGTTCCTCTCCATATTCTTTTTCATCCATGATCTAT